TTCATCGGCGTCCCAGGGCACCCTCCCGCCCCGCTGCCGCCCCCAAGCATCCCTGGCCCGCGGCCCAGCAGCATCTCTGCACCCTCTGAGGCCGAGCCCCCGAGCTCCCGGAAGTTGCAGTCCTCAGCCTCCACCTTCCTCTCTCCAGGTAAGAGGGCCCTGGTGTTGGGCTTGACGGACCTGAGGAAGGGGCCACCCTGACCAGTGCCATGGCTGTTGACCCTGCTGCTGGTCTCTGCCTGCCTCTCACTGGCGTCTTTATGAAGCTTTTCCAGGCTCCCAGACCCAATCGGAGCCTGAGCTCGGCCCCGTCCCAAGCCCTGCTTCCCTCCAGCCACCACTACCATCTCCAGCCCCTTCTTCTACCAAGGTAGGTGCCCCCTGCCCCCCAGAGAAAGTTCGAGACAAGGAGAAAGAAAGCCTTTGGTGCACTGCGGATTCCCTGTCAGCCAAGCCGGGTCAGCTGGGAGGCAGCTGGGGCAGGGGGATCTTGTGGCCTTGGGCAGAGGGGAGAAGACAGGGACCTCACCTGATCCAGGGTCTCTTCCCACAGCCAAGGCCAGAGAGCCCAGTGTCCCTCCTGCAGGGGGCCCACCCCTCTCCGTTGTGCTGGCCCCTCTGTGAGATTTCCCAGGGCACCCACAACTTCTCAGACGATCTCAAGATCGGGGAGGGCGGCTTTGGGTGCGTGTACCGGGCAGTGATGAGGAACACGGTGTACGCTGTGAAGAGGCTGAAGGAGGTGGGTGTAGCATCCCAGTGAAGACCCTGGAAGGCCAGTAGCCAACCCTCAGTTCTCCAGCCCTTCCCTCTTGGCTTCCCCACGCAACTCTTTCAGCCCTCTGATTCCAGTTCAAGGTCCCCGGCCCCTCGGTTCTCTGGGCCTCAGACAGGTGGCATTGGAAGTGGCCGGCAAGCCTCGGCTGCAGGAGCCTCACACTGTCCATTTTCCCTGCCCCCTTCACCACACCCCGGGGCTGCAGGACGCTGACCTAGAGTGGACTTCGGTGAAGCAGAGCTTCCTCACCGAGGTGGAGCAGCTGTCGAGGTGAGCCTGGGGATCCCCCCCCTGGCTGGGGCATAGGGAGAGCCGCAGCAGGGCCACAGCAGGCTCTAGGACTGAATGCCACAGGACCTGGCTCCCTTGGGCCCCTGAAGCCTGCCAGGCCCAGCCTAGCTGAGGGACCAGTAAGGACTGGCCACCCAGTCTGGCCAGATGGAAAGTATAGTGGGGCCAGGGGGCCAGAGTGCTCAGGCCCCACTTTTTCAAATAGGTTTCGTCACCCAAACATTGTGGACTTTTCTGGCTACTGTGCTCAGAGTGGCTTCTACTGCCTTGTCTACGGCTTTCTGCCGAACGGCTCCCTGGAAGACCGTCTTCACTTCCAGGTAGGCTCACCTGGCCTGACACTCTTCCCCGGCCCCGCAGCACTCTTGGCACCTGGGCAGAGCTGGGCACATGGGGTGGGGGCAGCGTGGGGCTCTGAGCCTTCGTGAGTGGGTCCTGCTGGCAGGCAGGGCTTGGGCCTCCAGCTCCCCTACAGCTCTTAGCTCAGGACTGGGCCCCAGCTGGACCACCGTTTTCTACAGAACTCTTTCCCATGGCCTCTCCGTGGCTGCTCCTCTAAAAGGGGGATTCTTGACTCAAGCTCCTACCCTGTGCGAGCAGAGTAGCTGAAGGATCTTGTCAGCAAAAATGCTTGAGGAAAGGTGGCCAGTGGGCAGCAGGCTGTGCATCTGAACCCAAGACTTGGCCCATCCGAGTGAGGTACCCCAGAGACACCAGGGCTAAGCGCACAGGGCAAGAGCTTCTTTGCCTTTTACCTAAGCTCTGTTGGGGCAGGGTGGATGAAGGCCTTCCACAACTTCCTGACTCTAGAGACAAAGTAATGAACTCTGGGAGCAGAGGCGCATCGGATTCTGTCACGAATCCCAAGAACGCGTTCCCCAGCCATTTTCCCAGCTTTGGAGGGCTCCACGAGGCACTGGAGTACCATAGTCTCTGCCTGCTTGTGAATTAGGTCATGGAGATCTTGCTCCTTGTTTTCCAGAAGGGGAAACAGGCCCAGACGGTGAAGTGACTTGTTCCAGGCCATGCAGTGACAGGTGGAGGGAGAGTTGGGGGTCAAGGAACAGCCGCCCCCCAGCCTCCTCTATGTCTCTTTGCTGCTACAGACCCAGGGCTGTCCCCCTCTCTCCTGGCCTCAGCGACTGGACATCCTTCTGGGCACAGCCCGGGCACTTCAGTTTTTACACCAGAACAGCCCCAGCCTCATCCACGGAGACATCAAGAGGTGAGGAGGGGCCGTGCCCTGGCCTGCTGGTGTGGGGGACGGATGCAGCCTGGATTTCAAAGCCCAAGTGGCCTGGGGGCTGCTGTGGGCAAGGCGCTGGCTTGGCAGCTTGAGTCCAGTTTCGTCAGGGCCGGACTGACGCCACTCTCTCCCGTCCCCAAGTTCCAATGTCCTTCTAGATGAGAGACTGATGCCCAAATTGGGAGACTTTGGCCTGGCCCGTTTCAGCCGCTTTGCCGGGGCCAACCCCAGCCAGAGCAGTGCCGTGGCCCGGACACGGACTGTGCGGGGCACCCTGGCCTACCTGCCCGAGGAGTACATCAAGACGGGGAGGCTGGCTGTGGACACTGATACCTTCAGCTTTGGGGTGGTGAGCCGCTGGCCCTCCGTCCCTTGCAGGGTCCCCTTCCTCACTCTGCACCTAATTTTGTGTTTGTAATTTCACATTCTTTTTCTTCAAGTGGGCCCTCCAAATCGCCTAAGCTTCAGTCTCATAACACATAGCCTTGTCCCTGTTGGGAGCCAGTCCTCATGTGCCCGTTCCCGGGCTGTACCCCTGTCAGCCCCGAACCATGTCCACCCCAGAGGCCTCTGCAGGCAACTCCTCCCTGCCAAGGCCTAGGGTGACACCATCGCAGAAGCCACTGCTATGTTGTCCACCCTGCCTCCTCTCCAGGTAGTGCTGGAGACCCTGACTGGCCAGAGGGCTGTGAGGACGCATGGTGCCAGGACCAAGTATCTGGTGAGCCTCCTGAGGCAGGGCAGAGAGGTGCTGCTCCTGGCAGCCAACAGGTGCAGCCCCAGAGGGTGGATGATCCAGAACGCAGCGCCCCACAGAAGCCTGCCTTTGCTGCTGCTGACTCATCTTTGAAAGTGGGCAGGGCCCCTAATAGCCTCCTTTACCTTGCCGAGGAGAACCCTGTCTGTCTTCCCTAGATGCCATGGGCAGGGGCAGGGGAGCAGTCCCCGGGTGCAGGGGCCTGGGTCAGGCAGTGCTGCAGAATCGGGTGGCTCTGAGAAGCCTTCCCCTGGGCCCCATCAGGCAAGCCGCAGGCGGACAAACGCTCTGTACTGGGAACAGGTCTGAGCTGCCCTCACACCCCTACTCCTTCATTTGTCTGCCTTTCCATAGACGGGGATGGGGCCAAGACACAGAAGACCTGGGTTCTAGTCCCAGTTTGACAGTGGCCTTGTAGCAAATTCTTCCTGCTCCCCACTGGGACTCAGTTTCCCCATATGCAAAACAGACTTAACACACGTGAAGCGCTCAGACAGTTTCTAGGCCCAGAACATGCTTGGCCAGTGTTTGCTCTTCACTGTTTTTTGGCAGCTGGCCGGTATGGGGACACTCTTCACTTTTCACAAACTTGTACACATCCTGCTGCCTCTTCTGCTGGCTGGGCTCCTGCTGTCCGTTAGGGCGTCTCAGCAGGGACTCAGCTCAGCTGAGAATACACGTGCCAGACTTGACCCTTCCTTCCTTCACTTTCTGCAGCCGTCAGCGCGTCCTGCTGGTGCTGTCTCTAGAGCTGGCCCTGACTTGGGCTTCTCTCCACTGTCACCATCACTGCCCTGGAGAAGCATAGCATCTCAGGGGTCTTTCTTTGGTCTTCTTTGGACCCTTCTCATTTGTTCTCCATCTGCAGCCAAAGTGACCTTTCAGAAAGCTCCTTTGCCATCCCACTGCTCTTGGGATGAAGGCCCAATCCCTTAATGTGGCATGACCCCACCACTCCCCAGGTCCCCTGTACTTGGGGAGCTCCCTGCTGCCTGCCCCAGGACTTTCGTATGTGCCATTCCCTGTACCTTAAAGACCACCACCCACCCAGGTGGTTTCTTCTGGTCTGTCGTGGCCTCTGGTCATGTTTGCACCCCTGGGGTATCTCTTTGCAGGGGGTTCCCCTTAGCTCTGCCCTCTCTGGCTAGTTTATACCTTCAGATTCCAGCTCAAGTGCCACTTGCTCAGGACCCTGTTGAATGCCCTGGGGGCCTCTTCAACAATTTGATAGGCTTGTTGGTGTTTGCCCCACCAGGAAGTCAGCTCTGTGAAGCCAGAGTCCAGGATGTTCTGTTTGTCGTCATATCCCTAGAGGCGGGGGCAGCACTGGGCATGCAGTGGGTGTTTAATAAATCCATAAAAAGAAGACCACAGGGGCCGGCCCGGTGGCGCACTGGATAGTGCGCCGCTTGGGAAGCGCAGCGGCGCTCCCGCCCGAGGGTTCGGATCCCACATACAGACCGGTTCCCGCTCACTGGCTGAGCGAGGCGCGGGAGCAACACCAAAGGTTGCAATCCCGTGGCCGGTCCCGGTCCGGTACGGAGGATTAGGAAAGGCCAGGAGCTTAAAAGACAAAAAAAAAAAAAAAAAAAAAAAGAAGACCACAGGATTGAGTGACAAGGGTCTGGGAAATGCAGCTGAAGGTAAGGCCACCTGGTGGCCATGCTTACAATATCTGTCCCACAGAAAGACCTGGTTGAAGAGGAAGCTGAGGAGGCCGGGGTGGTCCTGAAAAGCACCCAGACCACACTTCAAGCGGGTCTGGCCGCAGATGCCTGGGCTGCTCCCATTGCTACCCAGATCTACAAGAAGCACCTGGACCCCAGGCCCGGGCCGTGCCCACCTGAGTTGGGCCTGGCCCTGGGTCGGCTGGCTTGCTGCTGCCTGCACCGCCGGGCCAAGAGGAGACCCGCCATGACTCAGGTAGCCCTAGGGGGGTGGGAAGCAGTTTAGAAGCCAGCTGCATAAGAATGGGGTGGCCAGCTAGAGACCCCACCTTCCTGACCCTGCTCTGTAGTGACCAAACACAGCACCTGCCAGGCCTCTTTCTGAAGATGAGCCTCCAGATATTCCTTGCTAGCAGTTTGGTTCTGCTTGGGGCAGTGCCCCCCTGAGCTCAGGTCCAGTGTGGTCCTGCTTTGCTGGGTGGGCCTCTGACCCCACTTCACATGGATAGAGGGAGAGGGCTCTATCACGCCCCCTGCTGGGTGTACTGTGCCACTGCGTCTGCCCTTTTCTGTCCCCTCCATGTTCCCCCCCACCTCTTCCCTCCTGTTGACAGTTGAGAATAGAGAAGCCCCATTTGAGGGCAGCAGGACAGTGAGATTCACTTTCTAGACGAGAAAGAGAGGCCGTTCTCAGTCCTTGGCTTTGGTGGCTGTGACTCCTAGCACTCCTTGTGACAGGGACAAAGCTTTCCCAGCTGAAAGGTGTGCCGGCTTAGTGGTTCCTACAGCCCCCAGGGCAGCTGTTCAGGGCCTGGGGTAGCAATCTGAGGCTGGGCGCCAGTCCTGGGCAACCTGGCGCAGCCTTTGGTTTGAGCAAGGGGTGCTGGGCTGTGCGGCAAACCCCGCCCAGGGCATCGGCCCTGCTCGCACTGAGCCTCTTTTCTCTCCTCAAAGGTGTACGAGAGGCTGGAGGAGCTGCAGGCAGCAGCGGCAAGGCCACCCTGGGAGCTAGAAGCCGCCAGCCGCAGCCCCCCTTCCCCACAAGAGAACTCCTATGTGTCCACCATCGGCAGTGCCCAGAGCGGGGGTGTCCCATGGCAGCCCCTGGCAGTGCTCCCAGGAGCCGCGGCCCAGGCTGCAGAACCGCTCCCAAGAGGCCCCAACCAGCCCGTGGAGAGTGATGAGAGCGTGTCCAGCCTCTCTGCTGCCCTGCACTCCTGGCACTTGACCCCAAGCTGCCCCCCAGGCCTGGCACCCCTCAGGGAGGCTGGCTGTCCTCAAGGGGGTACCACTGGAGAGTCGAGCTGGGGCAGTGGCCCAGGGCTCCGGCCCACAGCCATGGAAGGTAGCTAGGGTAACAAGTCCCAATACTCCCCACCCTAGCCTTCTGGAAGGAGAGAACTAGGGCCAGCTGTTCAGCTCACTATGGCCTTAGTAAGCTCGAGGCCACAGAAAGGGACCCAGAGAGTAGCCTGTTGGCATCTCGTTTCAGCCCCCCAGGTTGTGCCCCACTCCCCCTTTAGTGGATTAGGAAAGGCCAGGAGCTTGCGTCCTAGCCCTTCTCCCTGCCCCAGTCCCGAAAGCCAGGAACAAGGAAGGCTCTGTCTAGGGCCGGACTCCCGGCCTAGCCCGAGAGCTGGGCCCGTGGTGTGGCCCCGTCCCGGCCCACTTCAGAGTTCACTGAGGAATTCTGTGCTGAGGCCAGGATGGCAGGGTGCTAGGCTGGGGCTGGGAAGACTTGTGAGGCTGGAAGTGTCACCAAGCAGTTCCCAGGGACAGCTAAGAGGATGCTATCTCCATCCCAGGAACGCCCCTGGGCAGCTCCGTGTCATCATCGTCAGCGCCACCACAGATTGTCATCAACCCAGCCCGACAGAAGATGGTGCAGAAGCTGGCCCTGTATGAGGATGGGATCCTGGACAGCCTGCAGCTGCTATCGTCAAGCTCCCTCCCAGGTACCCAGGGACTGCTCCGACTCTGCTTTCTGGGCACCAGCACCCAGAAGAGCCCCCTGCATCCCCCTCCCGTGTACACTGCAGCCTGACGGCTGGCCTCTGGGGTTGCTCAGACACGCTTCCTTTTGCCAACCACAAACAGCAGAGCATTTGTTCTGAGTGGTGAGGCCCCTGCTTACCAAGGGCACGGGACAGCCAGGCAGGCCACTCCCTTTAACCATGGCTGGAAGCCCAGTCCGCCCCCACACCTCCCTTAGGAATACCCTGTCCCAGCTCCCTCCTCTCCTGACGACAGCATCTTCCTTTCGCCTGAGGGTGCCAGCCTCCCTCACGCCTCCAGAACATAGAGATCCCCAGTAGGAACTTTCTATTCCAGGTATTATTTGAAGAGCCAGTGCTTAGGGATCAAAACGCCCTATTCCAGATAGCGCCCCAAGAGCTGAGGAGGAGGTGTGGCCCAGCCCTCGGGCCGGGAGCCCCCCGCCCCCGTGTGTTAGGTGGCATTTCTCTCTCTCTTCCCTAGGCTTGGACCTGGAACGCAAAGACAGGCAGGGGCCCGAAGAGAGTGATGAATTTCAGAGCTGATTTGTTCACATGGGCAGATTCCCCAAACCTGGAAGTCAAAGTTCTCATGGTCACAAGTTCTCATGGTGCGCGAACCCTTGGCAGCCCACAGGCAGCGGGGGTGAGGCCCCGACCTCAAAAGGGAGAAAAGGTGGTGGCCCCTGCTGCTGTAGGGGCATGGGCACAGGCAGGGCTCAGGGCCAGCTGGGCAGGCTGCTGAAAGCCACTGATAGGACAAGACACCTCAGAGGCCTGCCTGCAGTCCAGCGTCTAGCGGGTGGGGTGGTGCATGTGGGAAAGCTGCTGGCTGCACAGGCCGGACAGGAGAGGCCAGTGTGGCTGCTGGTGCAATGGGGTGGAGCAGGGAGCCAGGCAGGGCATCTGCAGCCCAGGCCTGCAGCAGCAGCCCTTAGCCCATCTCTGGACTTTCCTGAAGCCCTGAGGGAAAGCAGCCACTCTGAACAACAGAGCAGATGAGGCCCAGGCCCTCCACTTGCTTATAATTTGGAAAAGAGAAGTATGGCTGTCCTATGGTTCAGTCCACTAGTAAGAAGCAAAAGTTCTGAGATCCCCCAGAGTCCAGCAGCACCCCCCTCGGGCCAGTGTCTGCAGGCCTCACTGGGAGACCAGTGAGCTAGCCTACTGTGACTGTGACTGCCTGCCAGCCAGGCCACCCCTAGGCGCTACCGATGGCCTCCAAGCCAAATCAGGCTCCAGAGGCCACAGGCTCAGGCCCAGGCACTGACTGTGGCAGAGGGACCACTACTCAAGGTCCAGCTAGGCCCAAGCCTTGAGTTACCCAGACGGTGAGAAGCCCCAAGAAGGAAGGAAGTTGGGAGCAAGGCAAAGAGGGAAGGGGAACCTTTTCAGGAAAAAAAAAAAGTGACTTCGTTTTTTAGAAGCAAGTCAGGTTTTGTGTAACCGAGCGCCCTCTTGAGCATCTTTGGAAGTAGCCCAGGGCTGTAGCACAGGCTTCCAATGAGTCTGTGTTCACAATCATTAGTCACACTACATGCCCCATGAAGCTAGATGTTGGTGAGTCCAAGTTATCCTTGAGTAATAAAAATTGACGTTTTGATCTGTGGCTGTACTTGTGGAGTTCATTGTACTGCGAACTTTGAGCTTTGCGAATGCTTTGCTTTTTTTCTTTTGTTTCTTTGGTTTTTGGGTTTTTGGCAGCTGACTGGCACAGGGATCCAAGCTGGTTTTTTACTTTTATTTTTTTATGATGAATGCCAGAAGGCTCCCAGTGCTTTACACCTCAGGTTTCTTGAGTGTCCAACCAAAACGCCAGACCCCCCCACCCCTGCAGGCTCGTTTCCACTCCCAGTTAGCCACAGCCAGACTGGTGGCAGATCCACAGCACTACTACCCAGTACTTCACGTGCCATTTAGTTTTTCCTGATGTATTTCATGTTTTTTGATGCTATTGTAGATGGAATCTGTATTAGTCAGGGTTCTCCAGAGAGACAGAACCAATAGGATATGTTATAAATAGATGAGAGGGGATTTATTAGGGGAATTAGCTCGCACGACTGAAGAGGAGTCCCACGACAGGCCATCTGCAGACTGAAGGCCTCAGAACCAGGGAAGCCAGTCATGTCCTTGGCGTAACTCTGGAACCCAAAAGCTGAAGAGTCTCAAGGTCTGATGTTCATGGACAGGAGAGCAGAATGTATCCCAGCTCCAGCAGATAGAGAGAGATTCGCCTTTTCCTCTGTTTTTGTTCTCTCTGGGTCCCCAGCAGATCAGATGGTGCCCACCCATATTGAGGGCAGATCCTTCCCACCCAGTCAACTCAGGCTGTCCTGCTGATCCCTTCTGGAAACACCCTCAGGGACACACCTAAGAAGATGTTTCTACCAGGTTTCTTGGCATGGCATTCCTTAATCTAATCAAGTTGACACCTAGAATTAACTTTCACAGTATCTTTTTTTTAAATTTTTTTGCAGCTGGCTGGTAGGGGGATCTGAACCTTTGCCCTTGGTGTTACAGTACCGTGCTCCAAGCAACTGAGCTAAATCACAGCGTCTTTATTTCATTTTCTAATTGGTCATTGATAGTATATACCAATACAGTTGAGTTTTGTATATGGACCTTGTATTCTGTGGCCTTGCCTAAATTCACCTATTAGTTCTATCAAGTTTTTGGTAAATACTTTAGGATAGTTTATGTATACAGTCACCTCATCTGCAAATAAAGAGTTTTACTTCTTCCTTCCCAATCTGTATGCCTTTATAGTTCTTTCTCTTGCTTTATTGCACTGGCCAGGGCCTCTAGACAAATGTTAAATAGAAGTGGTGAAAGTGGACATCCTCACCTGTCGTAGGTGGAAGGTGTTGTCTTTCACCATTAAGTATGATGTTAGCCGTAAGGTTGTCATAGATGTATTTTGTCAGGTTATCCTAGTTTTCTGAGAATTTTTATTGTACGTGGTTGTTAAATTTGGGGGGAGGCAGGGATTATTGAATTTTTTTCAAGTGTTGTTTTCTGCATCTACTGAAATGAGCACATGATTTTTCTCTTTTATTCTGTTAATGTGGTGAGCCACATTGATTGGCTTTCAAATGTTAAACCAACCTTGCATTCTTTAGGTAAAAACAGTAAGTTGCTTGTGATGTGTTATATACTTTTATATATTACCGAATTCCATTTGTAATATCTCCTGAGAATTTTTGCATCTATGCTTCTGAGGGATATTGGTGTGCAGTTTTCTGGTAATATCTTTGTCTGGTTTTGGTATCAGGGCCTCATAAAATTAGTTGGAAAGTGTTCCCTCTTCTTACATTCTTAATGGGCTTGTGCATGGTTGGTGTTATTCTTTAAATGTTTGATAGATTGACAAGCGAAGCCATCTGCACCTGGAGTTTTCTTTGTGAGAAGGCTTTAATTACAAACTCAATTTCTTTAATTAGATATTGGGCCACTGAGATTTTCTGTTTCTTGTGTCAATTTTCATAATTTCTGTATTTGTGTCTTTTAGTGAATTTGTCCATTTCAAAGTTGGCATAAAGTTAATAATATCCCCTTTCTCATTCTTTTAATGTCTGTAGGATCTATAGTGACAACCCTCCTTTCATTCCTGATATTGCTAATTTGTCTCTTCCCTTTTTTTCTTGATCAGCCTAGATAGAAGCTTATCAGTTTTATTGATAATTTCAAAGAACTGGTTTTTGGTTTCATTGACTTTTCTCTATTTTTTGTCTCTTGTATTTTCTGGATTTCCACTCTTTATCATTTCCTTTCTTTTGCTTATTTTGGGTTTAATTTGCTTGTCTTTTTCAGCTTCTTAAGGTGTAACCTTAAATCATTGATTTTTAACCTTTCTTCTTTTCTAATACAAACATTTAAAGCTATAAAATTCCCTTCAAGGGCCGGCCCGGTGGCGCACTGGATGGTGCGCCGCTTGGGAAGCGCGGCGGCGCTCCCGCCCGAGGGTTCGGATCCCACATACAGACCGGTTCCCGCTCACTGGCTGAGCGAGGCGCGGGAGCAACACCGAGGTTTGCAATCCCGTTGCCGGTCCCCGGTCCAGTACGGGGGCAACACTGAGGGTTGCGATCCGTTGCCGGACACGGAAAAAAGACAAAAGACAAAAAAAATTCCCTTCAAGCACAGCTTTAGCTGCATTCTGTACATTTGAATGTGTTCTGTTTTGTTATGTTTCAGTTCATTATGCTTTTAAATTTCCCTTGTGATTTCTTCTTTAACCAAAGACTGAAGCATGTTAATTTACAAATTTTGGGGCATTTTTCAGGTTATCTTTTTTGCCATCTGTTTAATTTCATAGTGATCAGAGAGTTTTGTGTAATTTAATTTCTTTTCAATTTATTCAGACTTGTTTTATGTCCCAACATATTTTAGCTTGGTGATGTTCCATGTGTATTTGAAAAGAGTATATATTCTTTAATTAGGGAGAGTGTTCTATAATGTCAGGTAGGTCAGGGAGGTTGATAGTGTACAAGTCTTCAGTATCCTTGCTGACTTCCTGTCTACCGTTTCTATCTGGTAGACTGAGAAAAGTATTGCAGTCTTCAGCTGTAATTGTGGATTAGTCTCTCTTTCGGTTCTGCCAGATTTTGCTACATGCATTATGGGGCTCTCCTATTGGATGCATACACATTTATGAATATGTGTTCTTGATCAATTGACCCTTTTATTAATTACAAAATACACCTCTTTATCTCCAGTAGTGTTCCTTCTTCTGAAGTCTGCTTTGTCTGGTATGAATATAGACACTCCAGCTTTCTTATGCTTAGTTTTTTTCATGGTGTAACTTTTTCCGTTCTTTTCTTTTAACCTATCTGTGTCTTTATATTTAAAGTTCATTTATTATAGACAGCATATGGTTCAGTCTTAGTCTTTTAACCAGTCTGACAACCTTTGCCTTTTAGTTGGTCTGTTTAATTCATTCACATTTAATGGTTGGGCTCAAATCTACCATTTTGTTATTTGTTTTCTATTTGTCCCATCTGTCCTTTTTTCCTCTGTTCCTGACTTCTTTTGGATGAATCATTTCTGGTATTCTGTTTTTTCTCTGCTATTGGCTTATTAGCTCTAGTAACTCAGTGAGACTCTGGTTCTGCTCAGCAGCCCCCTTCCTTCTCCATGGTGTGGAATGTGCCTCTAGGCAGAAGCCCAGGGTGCTCGTAGTGGTCACCACATTTGTTTTCCTTCTCATCACAGTCCTGCGCTCCCTGTTGACCAATATCTGGAGATAGTTTCAAATACTGTGCCCAGTTGTTTAGTTGTTTACAACTGGTATCAGCATGTTTAAAACCACTCCAAGGGCATTCCATCACCCCGGAAAGGTCCCTTGCATGAGAAAACCACTATCCATGTTCAAAACCATGGTTTTGAACACATAGATTGGTTTTGCATGTTCTTGTATTCCATACAATGTGTTTGGCTTCTGTCACTGCATGCTGTTTTGAGATGCAGCATGACGTTGCAAGCAGCACTTTACTGTTTTTCATTCCCAATAGTATTCCATCATGTGACTGTACCACATTCTATCCATTCTACCCTTGATGGACTTTTGGGTAGTTTTCAGGTTGGGGCTGATATAGAAAAAGCTGCTATGACCCAGTACAAAAGCAGCACAGGTGTGTATCCTGGGAGTAGAGTTGCCAGCTCATAAGAACATAGATGTTCAGCTTTGGTGGATCCTGCCAAACATTTTCTAGAGCAGCTGGAAATTTGCATGTCCCCAGCAGCATATGAGAGTTCCAGGTGCTGCACATCCTCACCAACACTTGGTATTGTTGGCATGTTTTCATTTTAGCCATTATAGTAGGTGTGAAATGGTATCTAATGGTGGTTTTAATTTGCATTTCCCTAATGACTAATGGCGTTGAGCATTAGTTCATTTGCTCATTGCCCTTTCTGTGAAAGGCATATTCAAATCTTTTGCTCATTGTTTAATTAGATTGTCTTTTCCTTGTTAATATGTAATACTTCTTTTCATATTCAGGATACAAGTCTTTTGCATGCTATGTGTATCATAAACATCTTTTGCTACTCTAGAGTTTGCCTTTTCACTGTCTCAAGGATGACTTTTGATGAACAGTTCTTAATTTTTAGTCAAGTCCAATTTATCACTTGTAGAGGATTCATAAAGCAAATGTACTTCACAGGGCCTGGTTTTCCAAAGCCTTGCAGTTTCAAATATTGACCTTGCAAAGGACAGGAAATTCTCCCCAGGCTATTCAGTCTCTGTTGCAAGATAAGAATTGTAACACAGCAAGGCTGCTGGCTCAAAGACAGACAAGTTACTGATTGATAAGTAAAGATCCTGGGAAATTGTGGTAAGAAGAGAATGTTTGCTAAAATCAAGCCTTTGTTGCAAATTGCATTACAGAAGGTCACCTTGCTTGACTTACTGTTACCAGCTTCTATTGTTAAACTTGTTAAACTGTACTTCGCAAAACCCCACCTATGTCTCTTCCTGTAACTTCTTGGTCTGGAGAATAAATGCAGGAAGAGAACCCCAATTCGTGGTTAATTCCCCAAATGGAAGGATGCCTTCACGCTTGAGGGTCCTGGGAAATTAACCCCTTTCTGGGGCTTCTCATGGCTCAAAAG